AAATCTGTAGAGGTCTAAACATATTTCTGAATTCAAAACAATGCTCACACCTCCCTTCGGTCGACGCTCGTTGGAGACCTGCCTAAGACATCTTCTGGACTTTTTCTGTTTTCATGTGTAAGGTTCGGAATCTAAAATGACTCAGGTGATAAAATTGAAAATATTTAGGGATTTCTTGGCGGTGTTGACTCCGGTTTAAACTCTGAAAAATTCTTCTCCATAAGCTCCGACTCCGACTCCGAAAACTTCAATTCGACGGTCTCCGACTCTGACACCGACTTCGAAAATTTTGCGATCGTCACCTCCGACACCGCCTCCAACTCCGTCGGAGTCGGTGTCACCGTCGGAGTTCGGTGTCACCGCAGGGCTCTAGTGAACACTAGTCAGATAAGAGAGAAACAAGTTGAATTATAGTCAGCATTACTATCTTCTCTCATATATGAGCTATAGTTTCTATAAGAAAAGTTCAGCTGCGTTCTGGAAAGAGAAGTGAACGGTATCCAGCAGTTCTGAATGAAATAGTTTTCTGCATTTTGCACTGACATGTTGTGTTAAGTACCTTTATTTACAGCTTCAGTTTCGTTTTAGATAATGATCTTACAATTTCTCGAAGTCTTAGTGAATCTTATACTTCAGTTTGCTTTCTGTCAACGTAACTGAATCAGATCTTCTAACGACAGTAAACCTTCTGCTTTTACTCAACACAAAGCCTCTATATGGTCTATAACCGGTGTATCAGAAGAAATGGGTCATTTAGTATTTTACCAATACCTCTGTCAAGTTTCATTCCCCCAACTAGAACTTGTTTTTAAAAGATTCCGCATTCAGTTATCTACAAAAACTATATTGAACATTTTTTATACATGGTCTTATATCGCAAGTTATAAAGGACTAAAATTAAAAAACTATTTTTTGAGCTACAAAGTAATGGCGACTGGAGCTTCGCAGTGTTTCTATATTCTATCTATATTGCTTTATTTATATCATGTATAAAACTGTTCAGTATAGTTTTTGTAGAAAATTGAACGGAGAATCTTTTAAAAAGAAGTTTGATTCGTGGTAATGAAAACTGGCAGATATTGACGAAATACCAAGTGGCCCGTTTCTTCTGGTAAATCCGTTATGTCAATATAAATGCCTGACTTCTAGAGTTTTCATCAAGATAACAGTCATCGCCTGTTTTTTCTATAACTTTGTGGAGCGCATCAATATGTAGATAGTTATTAGAATATTTAGATAGACCTTTTATTTTGTAAGAACAAAATAATAAGTTCACATCTTGAATTATTCTCCACAGAACTTTTGTATGAATTATTTGATTATTTGTCTTCATGTGACAGTATATACTTTTATTGGTTCCAGTCGTCGTCTAAATACTATTGTTGGCTCGTACTCACTACAACTTGATTTTTGAGTAATTTCTCATTCTAAATTCGATTTTATTTGTCTCATATTGAATAGATTTTATTTGTCTCATTTGTCCGCAATAGAAGACCACCCTTTAGAACTCGACTTGCGGGACAAAACAGAAGGTGGTCTTGTATTATGGGGAAGGGGAGGTAGTAAATACCTTTAATTTTAAATACACTACCACACATAAACAAAATTTCATTTTCAACTGATATCTCACTTAGGTGGCTTACATCAGCATAAGGCACTGTTTCATCTAAATGTATATCAACTTCTATTTCTAAAAAGATAGCTTGTCTATCTTTTTTTGTTGCACTACACCTTGCAAATGAAACAGCTGTGCGACGATCTTTACTTGTTGATAAGAATGCATTCATTGATATATGATAATCTTTATAATCCTTTATAGAGTTCAATTCATCAGCTGAAATACCCAGGTCGACTGTCACGCTGAAGTCGCGGCGCGACTCCCGATAAAAATTCTCGCCGGGAACGCGCTGTGTGTTTTTATACGCTTGGTTCTCCAGTGGCTTAATACGTGAAGATCCTTCTCCATTTGCCAGCGTTAATCAAGTTTGCTTTGCAAGTTCACAAACTCATATACAGTGTGAAGAAAAAGACTGCGATGAGTCTGTTTTTATAACTTGTGCTCGATGTTCGAAGAAATTGTGTTCTCAACACTTTTTTACCAGTTATCATTTTCATTAAAAACACAGCAAATATTTTTACGAATCATGGCTCTGTAAAACTGCTTTATTGCCACCTTTATCACAGATTGCTAATAACATGTGTGAAAAAACAGAACAGAAAGAAAAACAGTAGTTTTTCTTTTATAAATTGTGTAAGAATATTAGCGGCTTTTCCCTCTTTTTTTAAGTTTTAGACGCAGATGACTCGCTCAAAATCTCGCTTAGAACCTTGAAAAATTGTCTTCTGTAGGTTTGACGACGTGCTCTTTCATTTGGATAGGTCAAGGAATTTTTTTAGTGAAAATGGTTTTTCGATTGAAAAACCAAGATCTTTAAAAAACGGGTCTTTAAATCGAAAGCGAGCCAAAACCATTGTGGTATTCGGAATCAGCATGTTCGATTACTTATTGTCAACTGAGTTTAAGCTCAAAAGCGAGGAGACAGTTGGTGGCCTTCCCTCGTTAGTTCTTTTCTTTCCAAACCTTATTGCAACCTCTCTCTCCTTATGCGTGTATGTTCTTTTATTTTCTTTTTTTCTCTTTTCGATAATTTGTATACTATTGCATCTTTTCTCATGTATGAATAGACAAAATGATACAATGGGTTCGTCTCTTTCTTTTTGTTTTCTTCATTTATTTAAACTTGTTTTCATTCTTTTCTTGAATAAATAAAGCTTATAGAAATACACAAATATTATAAACTCACTCTTAATTATAATTAACCTTCATATTCTTTATTTATGTTAAATCAAGAGGCAAAGTAAGAGTAGAAACGTGATTGCATTTCAGACGATAGACAGTGTTATGAATGAATGGGTTGGTTGTTATATTTTTCTCAATGAAAAAGAGCGTTCGAAGTGATAAACCATCGATAAAATAGAATATTTTCTTTGTAGAAGAAAAGAAGCTTCTATCTGTCACTTTGATAACAATAATATGTAAACTACTATGACTTAGAAATTATATTTTGCAAAGTTAAATGTGCAATCTCTCGTAAATTATGAAAGAAAAACTTTATAGAATAGTTATAGAGATCGCACGTTTTTCAGTGGGAGAGTTGATTGCATAATATCACTGTCTCTAAAAGTTATAACATATCACCGGATCGAAAAATTTCAAAAGCTTGTTGGGTCGAAACCGATTGCAGATTCGTTCTCTCCGTGGTTGATTATGTGGTACGCAATAACTTTTGGATCGGGGTACTTTAGAAAAAAATTTTCCCATGGTCTTGCTCAAAAATTTTTCAAAATGTTACCGTATGGGACCAAAGGCAAAACGATGTCGAAAATTTTTTCTGAAGTACCCCGATCCAGAAGTTATCGCGTACCACATAATCAACCATGGAGAAGACGAATCTGCAATCGGTTTTGACCGAACAAGTTTTTAAAATTTTTCGATCCGGTGATATATCAGATCATTTGGAAATGTGTGAGTTTTCGACGGTAAAGTTTGTGGTGTTGATGTCATTTAACTAGAGATAAAATATACTCAGATCGCTTTATAAGATCCATTCAATAAATGTTTGCCATTTAGATACACTAATATTATATTTCTTTTTGTTCTTGTGTAGACTGACTTACCCGTTATCACTTCACCAGCTCCATCCATCGAGGAATCACAACAACAATCTGAAATTATCGAATAAACATTGGACCAGTCTGAAAATACTGAAGGAAAAACTGAAAACGACAATCAACCGACACATGAAGAACAGAAAATCAATCCATCACTAAAATCCGACTCAACCTCATCAACACCTGCTCCACCAGCAGATGAGACTCCTGCTCGTCGTGCATCAGAATCGTATTCGGATAAATCTAATAGTATTGTTGATGCATCAGATGATACAAACTATATTCTGGAACAAGAAAAGCAATCTCAAGTCGCGTCTGTCACAGTTCGACAACACCGACACTGACCATACTGTAAATTTCAGGGATTTTATGTAAAATAAAAGAGGATTTTTGATTTGTGCGTATACTTAATAGTTGAGGATTTTATAAAACTTCTAAAATCATTCTTTCGTTGATCTTCAGAGAACCTATAGAATGCTTCGATATTATAGTATATCAGTGGGTGATTCTGTCATAAACTATAAAATTGAGTTTTGATTTAATATTTTTTCATAAAACCTCATTTTTGAATATTTGTGAAATCGATTCACCTTTATAATTTTGATTGTACGAATTTTAAAAGAATCCCGGAATATTTCTTTTTTATAGAATCCTCAATGATTAAGTATGCGCAGTTTTCTGAAATCGAAAACGGAAATTATTTCATATGAATTATAAAATCGTTTCGACTTTACAATTCACTCTTTTGAAAACTTTACGTTAAAGAAATTAATAAGTAAGAAAAGAGCGCAATTTCTGTAATTGGTTCAGAAAATGTAGTTGAGGACAAAACAAAAGTCTTACGCGAATTTAAAGCGTGAACGAAAACGACGCGCAGCTAAACATGAAACGTGAAAAATTGCGTTTTGAGAAAAATAAACCGTGTAATGTTTCTAACGTTTTTTGAATTTGTGGTGAATTTCTGATAAACCAGATTAAATACATCATATGAATCAATAAATCCACCAATTATCTCTGTTTGGAATTGTGTTTGAATAACTTCTTTATTTTGGACGATCAGTAAATAAATTTTCCCATTATTTGCAGCTGTTTGTATTTGAATCAATGGATACGGATGAATAATGTCCTAAAGTAAAGAAAAAAGAACTTCTATATAAACATTGATGAACAAAGAAAGGAAAAGTCACATACCTGATTTAATAAGTATCGTTTTGATTCGCCAAAATGTTTTGAAACAAATTCCAATACAGTTAACGGTTGTTCCTCTAAATAGTCAATAAGCAAAGCACGACCACGAAACAGTATCGTTTCCAAAACGCTTACCATCATCGATATTTTCCGAAAGCTTTTTTAATCTCATCCCCAATACCATTACATACTTTAGCACAATTACGTTTAACAGCTTCAATGATACTTTCATAATATGGATCACAAACGCTATTTATTTCACGAACAAACTAGAAATAAAATTGCTAGTAAATAGTGACTAATTAACATTTTCATCTTACTAATGACGTTATTTTTAAAGTCGGATGCAGTTTTAACGATTCTTCGACCGTCACAGTCTGCATCATTAAATGGCGTCGTTTGTTACGTGTCAAATCAAATTTTTCTTTCAATTTTGTTAAATCGTACGAGTTGCCTTGTATCATTTCTTCTTCGTGTGTTGTTAATTTCAACAACTCATCTAATGACTGATCATTTTCCTGGATTAGATATTCCTATAAAAGAAAGGATTAGGCTCGTAAAGTAAGGGTTAGAACATGAGCAACTTACTTTTCGTGTAGCTGTCTCCGTTCTTTGCATCTTTAACTTTCTTCTGGCATTTGTATGAGCATAAGATAAACGTTTCTTCTTTACTACTTCTGAGGGTGATGCAGCCACAAAACGTTCACCTGTGAATTGATTTTTTAACGAATTATAATAATTCGTTAAAAAATCAATTCACAGGTGAACGTTTTGTGGCTGCATCACCCTCAGAAGTAGTAAAGAAGAAACGTTTATCTTATGCTTATGAGACACTTGCTGTTAAAGCATTACAAATTTATGTTGCTTCCTGAAAAATATAGAATACACTAGAACCAGAATAACTGATATGATTCAACTCAATCAGACAGCAATTTTCATTTTTCGTATCAATTTACTACAACCCATGGTTAGCCTGACAATCTTTTCTAAAAATACCGTCCATGATGAATTTCTTAAAGACACCAGTACACTGATAACATTGGACAATCAGAATTCTCATTCTTTTCATTTATTTGAATATCATTATTTTTTAGAATTAGATAAAGGATGGAATGTATGTACAACAAAAAGCTTTATAGAACCATCCGTAATTGATTGACTACTTTTGTGTGAATCGACTTTTGTTGCTTTCGACTGATATCACCCTCAGATGCTGATCAACATAGATCAGCTGTTTTATTTTCTTTTTAGTTATGTTTTTATTATTACCCTATGATTATGTCATATTCGTCGATTCAATGGCATCATTAACAAAAGCAACATCTGTTAAATCTGATAGCCACAAGAAAACGAAGTAAAAACAACCAGATTTTGTTAATAAAAATAGAACACCAGCGAAAATTACATCAAAATCATCCTCACCTAATAATCATCAATCAGAACGAAATAAAAATCTAAAACATTGTCAGTTCTGATAGTAACTAGCTTGAATACACTATGTAAATGAGTCATGGATTTGATGAAATAATCGCTCAATTACACTATTAACAATAGAGTCAAATAAAAACATTAGTACGAAGTTACACAGGCACACTAATACAATTCTATTTCATATGATTAAATTTGGTGTTAATGATAACAAACGTTTGAATACGGGAGGTCTAAGATAATATCCCATATGGATCCCATACATTTACTGGTTCTCGAACATGTGTCCATTAGTTTTGAAAATTTATGTCACATATCTAATTTAATGTGCTCTACAAAATGGAAAAAATTAGACTTTTTTCATTCGAATCTTGGTACTGGACTTCCGGCGCTTCATATGCAGTAGAGAGTCACTTAGGATAGGCCTAACTGTTCAAAGAGATATCAGATTCGCAATCAGGATAAAAAATGATGCATTAAAAACCGGTTTTTAACACAAAACAAGCGTATCACTTGAGACGCTTCCTTCATTAGCTTATTGATTATAGTGTATTTGAAATATTAGGATCAATGTGGTGTAAGTCATGCCCTTGATAATTAATTCTTTTCTCATCTTTGCGTATCGTTCATGATAGTCATTCTATTCTTTAGTCTATTATCGAGTCGTGTTATTTCTGAAAACGTTAATCTTTTAGATAATTCTATATTTTTATTAAATTCCAAAACAATTATCCAAGACAATGTAACAGATTGAAGATTCGGAAATAAACAGTCGCTATTAATCAGACGGGAATAAGGAAACAATTTTAAATTTAAAATTTTTGAATGTATGACGATCAATAATTGTGTTGAATATTGATCATTATCTCGTTCTCGAAGATCTAATGAGTATGTATAATACTGAATTAGTTTATGAAAACGTTTATTAACACCAAAAAATGACTGAATAACATTCAGAGGATTTAACAAGTCCATTATGTACAAAATTATTTCCGATGGCAATTGATCAAAACCAACAATGGGATTAGTCATCCTTCTAAAAAAAGACATTGATGTTTTTGCTGAAGCCATACGAAGCGGACCTTTTAGTTATTATGTACCTTCGATTACCATACCTGTATTGCAAAAGCCACCAGTTTTACCATCATCATTATAGATACAATCAGGTATGGAGTAAATTTCGTGTGCACAAAATGATCAAAATCTATCTTGACATAGAAGACAGAACATTTCCGGATATAGTCAGAGAATCTCGTACGAAAGATAGAGTGTTCTTATCTACTCAAAAAAAGAAATAAAAAGTTCTTTGTTATCTTGGGCATTAACATTAATTTTCGTCACTGATCCCTAACTTGAGAAAATTGAAATGATCAAGTTCTTTTAATTGGTATCAAGTGAGTTTACCGTGTTCGTAGATTATGTCCTATGGATGTATTTTTTCTAGTTTAGGAATTTCATCTGATCTCAACTCATCTTTTATTTAATAAACTCCATCGAGTTCTACAATGGAAGCTACAATTTTACATCGTTTCAGATTCGCGAGAATAGTCAATGACAACCTACGTAGACCTATCTCTACAACCTAATAGAGAAGCCAACTTATTTAGTTTTCATATCACTCAAAGTCAGGTAGCAGAAAATATTGAACCCGGTACATACAGCATACCAATGTCGAAATTATTTGCTACCTGATTTTGACTTTGTTGAACTTTAAGTTTACAGCCTTCTTTGTTGTGTTCTTCTGATATAGAATCTCAATTTTGAGCTCGATAGGACGTAAATCGAAGAAATTTCTTTCTTTGGAACCTATTCTTCGAAACAATCAGGTTCCAAAGAGAAAACTTTCTTCAATTTACATCCGATCGAGCTCAAAATTGAGATTCTATATCAGAGTAGCATACCATTGAAGAGTATGATTGTTTTGGAGTTGTAGACTTCATACAAACGTTTCTCAATTGACGTTGATCATAGGCTCCGCACCGTTGAAGAGTCACCCACTTTTCACGGGTTTCTAGACAGTATTTCTAATGTCAACGGGTCCTGGGACACTTTTCTCAGTATCATATATACATTAAATTGTAGCGCGAGAAATTGTCTATCGAATGGTATATCTATCGTAGTGGCTAGCTGAGAAGTGTTGATCAGAGGATACTCATCCTGGTGAAAAAGTCTCCTGGATCCAGGAGCTGGTTTTGGGGATTTTCTCCTAATTTCTCCTGGTTTCGTCACTTTGAGTTTTAGTGACATCTTGGTTCATCATCCTTGAATTAATAAGATCAAGGAAAAGTAATAGGATAATAATCAAGGAAAAGAAAAAGAGAACTATTACGCTGATGGACGCAAAAAATCAATAAGAAAACACGTTGTTTCTGCTAGTGGTGTGTAAAACTAAGAAAGATTACCAATTTCATAAATAAATTCTATGGCAAGAACTTGTTTCGTTGTTAATTAAAAAAGTACCCACTGTGTATTTATTACATGTTTTCATTGCAAGAAGATGAGATTCGTGAAGTGTCAAATTCATTAGAAGAAAATCTTTTGCCACAATCTTTACCACAACCGACAAAAACTGCTGATTCTCTTTCATTACAAAATCATTCAAAAATCGACAATTGCTCTATCATCATCTACTACATAACTACACACTACTTGTCAAAATTCAAAAACGAATGGTTAACGAGTTCGACATTTTCTTCACTTTTAAAAGAATGTAAAAATGACCAAACAAAAGCATTTTGTTCTATTTCTAATGTACAATTCTCAATCCAGAATAGTGGAATTACTGATATCAATAAAAAAGCTCCTGGTTTTTCTCCTGTTTTTTTAGTAAAAATCTCCTGGTAACTCCTGGTTTTTTTGCAAAAAACTCTTGGTTTTTGAAATTTGGATTTGGCAACCCTGGTGGAGTCAGTCATTATCAAAAGTGGCCAGAATAGTATCTTCAGTCATGGGATACCTTTCGAGCTGGTTCAAAAACGCATCTGTATTCTGTAACGTATAATAAGCCGTATGTTGTTCAAATATCGGCCTTAATGTTTCGCTAAGACGTGTGATATACGTGCTACAGGGGATTTTACCTGGGCTACTATTAGTCTCAATGGTGCACCTGGTTTGTGGTCTTTCGGGTTATAATATAAATGAGGTAACTCACAGCCTTGAGATGGTTTCATTTTCCCGTATACTGTTTTTGATATACGATTTTTGCTCAATAAGTCCTTTAGCAGTAAGTTCGTACTTTCAATCATTTTTTTTAATGGATGTTCATTTACTTCTACATAGGCGTCAGTTCTAGCCGTATAAATATCTGATTTTTTCTCCTGATTTTGAGATAAACCGATGTTCGGTACCTTAGATTTATCTGTCTGCCTAAACAGTATTTCATTTTTACATTGTCTATCTCTAAGTTGCTGTAACAGTGTGCAAGTCTTAGCATATTTACACTGGTCTTGACAAAAGACTTTTTCCACGTGATCTGCAATAGTACTTCTTACTTTTTGTGCAAAATTATCGATCAAGGTAAAATGAATTTAGGGTGAGTCGATTGACTTTCATATTTGTTTTTTATTTTGTCAGTCGTGACTTTTATTTCATCTGATAATCGTCGCTGTGCCTCTGCATAGTTGGCGTATGTTTTTGAGATGATGTCAATGATATTGTTGTATTCGTCGCCTGTGGTAATAGATAGTACATGGAATGATGGGAGTGACACGCACCAGCCTTAACTATCGTCCGTTGGCTTCTTTTAAACTTTGTTCTGAAACATGGATCTTGGCCTCAAAATTCTTACCTTCAATTTTTTCTCTTATTGTGTAAATTCTGTCAAGAATTCCTTGATATTCTTGTGGTAGTCTCACTTTAGACATTATAGTTTGATCATCAATCTTTTTGATTTCCAGGTTTTTTTGGCATCAATCATGCATTTTAGCATCATTGTTTTTACCTGTAGGATAGACATCTCCCAATCTTTGTGAATTGCAGGTCTTTTGGGGTCTTCGTTTTCAATTTTCGTCTGAAGTTTTATATCGATTACGTTTAGCGAAGGTGGTGGTTCATTCATTCTTGCTCTGGTCTCGAGCTTTTTAAGTTGAGTGACATACTGTAACTGTGTAGCTTTTAATACCACAAGGCTGTTCCATTCTCTTTCCATGAAGTGTTTTTCAACCGTCAGGTCGTTTTATCTTATCTCGATATTCGACAAATATCAGATTGTATTCTTTTTAACCTATGTATTTTGTATAAGACCTATGTATTTTTTCGAGGATGTTCTAGGTCATAGTTTTCTAATTAAAAACTAGGTCATTGATTTCGATTAAGGAAGGACCCTAGAAAAAAATATTTTATCGGGACTGGTTGTGCACGGGTGCGCACCGGTGCCAAATAATTTTTTTTCTGGGCACCGATGCGCATCGGTGCCAGAAAGAATGTAAAGATCTCGCACCGGTGCGCACCAGTGCCGAAGGTTTGTTTTCAATCATCATTTTGTTTTGTCAATTTCTGTCTATATTAACACCACAGTCTACTTCTAATATTTCGAATGTCTTTCTGACTTCATCTTTTCCTTCTCATAAGAGAAGTGCCGCAGCAATGCCGCACGGTTTTGGCATGTCGATGTCGTACTGATCAGTGCCACATTCTAATAGAAAGTTCAGCATAAACAACCATCATAAAAAAATAATTAAATTTATTAAATAAATTATCAGTGCGGCATCCAGGCGGCACTGCTTTTTGCCAGTGCGGCACTCTTTCGGCAGAAATATATCGGCATTGGTGCGCACGGGTGCCAATCGGCACTTCCTGGGCACGGGTGCGCACCGGTGCCAGTGACCGACGGCATGCCATGCGCACTGACAGTGCCGCACTGCAATTTTTTTTATAGGGGACATATTGAATTAATGAAAAGACTTTCTCTTCCTTTCTTAAACTTTATTAATGTAACCTTCGACATACGAAAGATGTCTTCGTCAGGAAAGATTAGTAAAAAGGAATGAACATACACACACTTATATACATGTACAAATGCATTCTCACATGTTCTCCCTCTTTCTCGTTCTTTGATGTTCTTTATACGATAGTGGGACGCAAGACGGTGATACTGAATCATCTAGTTGATTATCTCCTCCCAGTATCACCGTCTTGCGTCAGTATCACCGTCTTGCGTCCCACTATCGCATAAAGAACATCAAATTTCAGAAAAAACGTTTTGAAGAAAGTTTTCTACACCAGTTGTACATTCGCACCATTCATAGTCATTAACTCTCTCTCCAGTCTTTCTCTATCTCTCTATCTTTCTTTTCTTTCTTTCTTTTTATTTTGGTAACAAACCATGGTACATAAAAGAAGTACAGACATAAGAATGACTTGTAACAGAAAATTAACATGAATTCAAAATTTCTGCCTATTATGACCAACAACTAAAAATCGAACGCAAAACAGCGATTAACAAGACCAATGCTCTACCAGTGCTCACAAGTCGGTCTTCGACATGTTTCTTCTGACTCACTGATGTTAGTTATCAACGAGTATATTTCCTCGGATGAGGTGTGCCATGCGCACTGACAGTACCGCACTGCAATTTTTTTTATAGGGCACATATTGAATTAATGAAAAGACTTTCTCTTCGTTTCTTAAACTTTATTAATGTAACGTTTCGACATACGAAAGATGTCTTCGTCAGGCAAGATTAGTAAAAAGGAATGAACATACACACACTTATATACATGTACAAATGCATTCTCACATGTTCTCCCTCTTTCTCGTTCTTTGATGTTCTTTATACGATAGTGGGACGCAAGACGGTGATACTGACGCAAGACGGTGATACTGGGAGGAGATAATCAACTAGATGATTCAGTATCACCGTCTTGCGTCCCACTATCGTATAAAGAACATCAAAGAACGAGAA